CTAGTAATAGTTCAGGTATGGGGTTACATAGTAAATGCAAAGCAATTCCTGTTATATAGCATACAAATCTTTAAATCTATTGGAAATATCAATTTCAAAAGTGAAAATATTTTTTAATTATTCAAAAGATTTATTTTGTGTTCACTTTTTTTACCAATGACGTTGTAAGTAAAGATGGACGCGATGGTTTTTTCTTCAACTCGTTCGTTCATTGTTCGTTCATTGTTTGTTCATCGTTCGTTCATAGTTCGAACCCCTTTTTGTTCGTTTTTTCTTCATTGTTTACGTTTGATAACAAATACGGACACATTGCTATATATCGATTGAACTAATATCGGATTGAATTAAAGTCATCTGTTCAGTGTTCACAAGTACGTCGCGCGGTTGTTAAAGCATTTTAACAAAATAAATTTAATCATGTTAATATGAAATTGAGTGTCCGCAAAAAATGTCAGCCCATTCGGCCGACAGCCGCGTTTAGCCCGCTATATGCAACATATATCTATATATTTACGAATATCTTGTTTTATTATATATATATTAATCCAAAACTTACGTTCGTTTAATCGATGTTTAGATTGATATGACACCATCAACACCAGAAATCAAAACCTGTTTTTCAAAAGTTAAAGAGTACATCTTAACATTAAACGCTGATTGGTTAAATTCTTAACTTCTTTCTTGGATATCGAATGCGTTTTCAAATAATCTTGGATTTAGTAAAACCAGAGTCCAAAACTAAAGAACGAAAAGTTTTGACTTAAATTTTAAGTTCATGGTTAAATGCCACTTCTGACTTAATTTAAACCTGAACTTTAACCGTGAGGTTAAATATTTAACCCTGTGGTTAAATATCTAACTCGCCGAAATCGACGAGTTAAAATTTAAACACAGGTTTAAATTATCTTAAAATCCTGCGTTTTCCCTATTTGTCTATTATTCAATCATCATTCCGCTGCAGCTGAGAAAACGGCATTCAACTTAAAGATATATTTAAAAGTGAAAACCTTGTTAAAGAAATTTCACGTTTTAGATAAATTAATTTTTGGATGTAAACCCAAAAAACGGTTGTATGTTTTGTTTTCGGTTACGTAAGAACAGCTGATTAGCGATGGTTATGTAATATTCTCCGTAAATCCTTTTCTCTGATTGGTTCAGATTTTTCCCGGGAAATCAGATGTTTGTTGGAAATATCTCG